GACCTATTAAACGCGAATCGATTTCGCGCGGATGAATCATCAGTGAGAGTTTTAGGAGATCGGCTATTGTGTGCCATGAATAACCGGTGATAGATATTATATATGGATAATATAATATCAGAGAAGGACGAAATAAATGTAATATAAGTGTAATAGGTCACTTTTGAAGGCTTTAAAATGAGTGGAGCAATGAGAAAAAGTTTGTAAGATAAATGAGTAGGTAAAAAGCTAGTAGAAGTAAAGAGAAGGAGGAGAAGATATATTTATATTGAGAAGACCGTAAATGGGGGCGAGAATATTGGCTTGTAATACCGAGTAGAGACGACCGAGGGATCTTAGCGAATATTAAATATATTATTACATTTATTCTCATTTCCCTTTAGCTTTACTATTTTGCGATTCATTTCACACGCAAGTATAAGAATGAAACGACTTTTTAGCACGAACAAATTTTAATAATACCGTTGCAAATCTTTTAGATTTTTAGGAGCTGAATATTGATAGCTTTAAATAATATCATCTAATAAATTAAAAAAAATTTCAAAATAAAATCATGTAATAATTCTGTAATAAATTCTAGAAACAATTTTAAATTATGCTAATAGAAAAATAAACTTTTATATCAATGTACCAATGATGACAAAAATTGAATTCAATAAACCAACACAATCAAAAAATATAAAAAGTTTAAGAAATTATTGGTACAAGTGTAATTAATCTTGATTATTAGGAGGAAACAGCATAGATACAAGGCATATAAACCGAAAGTGTTTACAGACCAAACTGGAGTTTAGGTCACCTCGTGGGACTCAACTGACAAATGTGTACGATGCAAACACATGACCATGGGTATTAAATGTAATTATCTACCCCTTGTAACGACCCTTGCAAGCCCTTTCCTCTCATCCCTTTATTCAGGGAGTTGAGTACCTACTGGCGACCTATCGATAGAAACGATCGATATATGTTCGTTGACTATCCACACAAAGGTCTATGTATATAACGAAGGTATATTCCACTTTCCATTAGCATTCTACTGGACCACTACCACCAGACCACCCTCTTACGGTAGCCTTCCTACTTCCCAACCCTTTTACATCCGATACAACAACATAAACTTGCTTTTCCTATCTTCTTCTCTATTATATGTACCTGTGCTGGCTAGAAGTCGGATACATCCATTTCAGAGAAACAGATACATCGATTTTTATCTAATTGTTTCGGTTGTAAAACTACTTCACAAACAAATACCACTAAATAAATATATACACTCACTCTAATGACGACTTGATTTCTTCCGATGTTGAAGTCCAAGATGTTCTAAAACAAAAAAAAAATTGTCTTTTGTGATACATCCATCGATTTATTTAATTGAATAATGTTTTATTTAAATATCTATTAAAATATTTAATTTATATAGAATGTATATTTCATGCTTTTGTATGTTTTGCATCATCAAATAAGATCAAATGTAAATCATACTTAGGATACTAATCCGTTGATTATCTATTTTTATCAATGAATTATCGATGCAAAACATACCCATTGTTTATTTGATTTGTTGGCCTCTAACTGAGTTGAAAGATAATAATAATAATAATAATGGATGGAGTTTAATAGGACACTGTTTAATAGGACTTGTATTTTGGAATTAATGCGTACGAATAGACGAAATCAAATAGTTTGTTGTTTTGTAACTATATATAATAGAAGTGACCATTACATTGTTGATGTTTCGAATTATAGATTCTCTGAATTTTCAAATTTCCCCTATAATTTCCTCACAACAGTTACATACGATCCACCTCAACGGATGTAATCGCATTGGCTTACAGGATATCAAGCGAAAATTAATTCCGTAAACAACATTATCATCAATATGATTATTATTATTATTATTTTATTATTGTTGTTGTTATGTTATCATTTACCATAATATGGAAATAAAAAAATAATTCAACGGGATAATGGATAGTTTGAGTTTGAAGGTAAAGCTGACGTGTTTGAAACAATAACAAATAGCAGGAAGAAAGGTTTAGAGTTGTATAAACGAATGTGACAAACATAAATAGCAATAGATAATTTAAATTCGGTATTAGATTTGTATCGGTGTCAAATACTGACAAACCGCAAAAAGCTATTTGTTTGGTTTGGTTTTAAAAATGATTTCCCTTAACGTAAAACGCGGAAGCGTAGTCGATGGATCGCATCGCCCGTTGGACTATACTATTATATGTCAAAACAGAAATGGCGTAAATTCAATATCCCGATTCGGAAGTCCACGCTTCGGTTCTCACGAGCTCCACTAAATACAAAACAGCTATTACTGTTGAACAGATATGCGTAACGGCAAAAATCTAATTATCCAAATGACAATACAATTTAAAAATACATAAACAACAAATTAACACAATGGCTAAGAGAGAAAATGTTTATGTTAGTTTCCTTTACTATCGGTCATATCTTTTGATTCTGAGTGCAATGTAAGTTATGTGGAAAAGGAAATGTAGCATTAATTTCACAGTGTTTATCTCTTTAGGATCGTATCAGTTTAGAGCTAGCTCGAAATAGTTTGCAGACAGAAGGAGACGCATTACGATATTGGGTAGGCAGAGGCATTTATAGCGTGAGGAAGCTGCCGCTAAATAGAGTTAGGGGATGTGGTATATAATGGAAGCATTCATAAGGGTTGGCAGGTCCTTATCTTTGAGATAAGACCGAAGCCGCCACAACCGGTCTAATCGCGTAGAGGCCAAAGTTCAATGGCTAAACCGAGTGACGTTTCTGCCCTGGACCCTTCCGCTTTTATGCACGCTATATCTCTCTCTTGCACTTTGGCTTCTGGGCAAATGTCAAAAGCACCCTAATTACTTAAAAATCATCATAGAAATATCAAGCTATCTATAATGAAATAATAATGATAAGTGAAGACAATAATATATTTAATAGAAGTCATTAATCAATGATAAAATACATAAATTTTTGACTTCAGAATAAAGCCGATAATAAAAAATAATAATGACCTATTTTCACAGAATTTTTATTACTTATTTTCTTTTTTTATTTTACGATAATTATCAGTCATTAAATACGTGCCACAGATGAGAAATTAATGACTAAATGATAAAATTATTCAAGGTTAAAAAACAAAGTTGATGAAAAAAAAAATGAATTAATAATATATAAACTAATATTAAGTGATACTTGGAAGCAATTACTACATGTAAGTTTCTAGCTATTTTTTAAAAGTTCATTTTTTCTTTAGACTTAACGACTATAAATTTATACTTAGTTATTTATCTATAATAGAATAATAACACAAGAAATGCCTAAAATAAAGTCATTGATAAATTTTACAATTTCTTTATGCGGAGTTTTTATATTTTTACTGCGTTATGTAAACTCTAATTCCGATTTACTACTTAATTCTGTTTTGCCAACTCATTACACAATTAAGTTGGAAATTAACACGACAGAAAATAATTTTAACTATAATGGTGAATCGTATGTCGATATTAAAATTAAAGAGCCTACAAGTTTTATTATACTACAAGCGGATCTTGAAATAATTGGAAATATAACAGTTAAAAGTGATAAAAAAACATACCAATCTCAAAGTTATTCGATACATAAAACAACAGATTTATTAACGATTCAATTCAATGAGACAATGCTTAAAGGATACTATCGAATGTATATGAAGTACAAGAACCAAATTTTCAAAAGCTCAGTTGGATTAACGAGACATTCATACATTGACGAATTCAATCAAAAACAGTAAGAAATACACAGTAATTAAATTTTATGTCATGCACTAAAACAATTTCAATTTATCTTATTCAGATGGTTATTAATGACGAATTTTGTCTACTTTGATGCCCATCGACTGTTCCCGTGTTTCGACGATCAAGAGATCAAAACAACTTTCCAACTTTTAGTAAGGCATAACAGTAAATATGTTGCATTGTCAAATACCAAATTTAAGAAGTTAGTCCGGAAAAAAAATGACACAGATCAAGTATGGACTTGGTTCAAAAAAACACCCATGATGTCGACGTACCAACTATGTTTTGTTTTGGGAAAGTTCAAAACTACACAGGTTACTAATTCTCTCAGAGTGTGGAGCACGAAAACTGCCGTTGATTATGAAGAAAATTTCATGAGAATTGGACAAAAAGCATGGAACATTCTCGAAGATATTACTGGTATCACAAGTAGCGAGCATTTTTTGAAAAAATTAGATTTTGTCGTAATACCATCTTCTCCAGATTTATCTCGATACATGAACGGAATTTATCCGACCCTTAACTGGGGACTTTGTATTGTCAAGTTAGTAACAAGCCAACTGTTTTAAGACACTATTGTGTATAAAAAAATTTCAATTCACGACTAAAGCCAATTAATAATTAAAATTATAATTAATAATGCCATCAAATTTTCAGTGAAGGAGATTTAAAGAAAAAAACCTACACTGAGGGCTTACCAAACCTGCTGACTTATCAATGGTTCATAAATTCAATTTCTCCAGATAATTTTCATTTTAAATCATTTGAGCACGGTTTGAGTATGTATATATTTACGGTTATTGCTGATAAGGTAATAAAATTATTTATTTCTTCAAAAACCTCACGGTTAAATGAAAACATTTAAATGTAATTTTCAGATCGATGAATCAAGCGATTGGATGGATCAATTTTCGTTTTATTGCCGAGAGAAATTAGACAAGAGTACGAAAACTTAAGCTTTTATATTTTTTCTAACAAGCATTAAATAAAAAACAATTTTGTTGCAGATGCATCAATGATTCGTATGATCGCAACTCTTTTTGGTAAAGAAAGATTTCGGAACGCTATCAAAAGTTATCTACTTAATAAGTACGTAATTTGCTTAAAATGAAACTTTTAAAAAATTCTTATAATTTTTTCTTTTCTATAAAAAGTAATTTTAGAGAATTGACGTCAACGACTCTTATTGATGAGTTTATTAACGCATCCAAAAATATGTCTGTGGATTTTTATAAAATACTGTATAACTGGAAAAATACACTGGGTAATCCATTAGTTACAATTACTAGAAATTATCGAGTCAATACAGCTACTATCACCCAATCTCGTTTCGGAAGGTATTCCTATAAACCAAAAAAAGAAAAATATTGGGTTCCACTTCACTGTACAAATGAAGATAATTTGGACTTTGACAATACTTCTGTTACTAATTGGGTGAATCCTGAAATAAATTCACTGGAAATTCCGGCACCTGACTATAATAAATGGCTTATATGTAACAAAAAACAGCTAGGTACTGTGACATTTTGATGTCTGTAATTGAATTACATTTTCTTGACAGGAATCTTAAGTTTTAGTTTTTAAAAATTTTTATTTTTTTCAGGTTTCTATCGTGTTAATTATGATGATAAAAATTGGCAGCTGATAATAAAATACATTAATTCAGATAATTACGATAGAATCCATCATTTAAATCGTGCTCAATTAATCGACGATACTTTTCTTCTCGCAGAGATTGGAAACGTTGATTATAGAATAACTTTCAATCTATTAAAATATCTTGAGTACGAAACTCATTACATTCCATGGAACTCATTTTGGAAGCAACTCTCACGATTTCATAAATCAGCTCTACCAAGTTCAAAATTTTATGATGTGTTCAAGGTATACAGAAATAAACTAATTTATCAAGTCAGTATTATTTTTCATTTTTTTTTGCTAGGCTTTTGTGATAATGAGAACTAAAAATTTCGAAGAACGTATTTTTATGGATGATGAGTCAAATGACGATCGATATTTGAAAAGTTTACGAAAAAAATTCATACACTGGACCTGTCAATTCGGTTCGAATTTATGTAAAAACTATACATTTTCAAAACTTACCAAATGGCTGGAAGACCCAAAAAAAAATTCGTAAATTTATTTATTTTACAACTGTGAACTGTAATATAATATGAGGATTAATCGACATTACATTTTTTTGAATAATCAGATTACCAAATAATTTTAAAAAAGAAATCCTTTGTGGTGGAATGCGTAAGGCTGATCAAAAGACATGGAATCAATTGTGGGATAAATTTTATCACCATATATCAGATCAAGAGTCGTTAAACGCTCTGGGATGCTCCTTAGATGACAATATTCTAAAAAATTTTATAGCAAAAGCTGTAGAAGATAGATTTAGAAGTATATATCCTTGGACATTGTTTGAAGTTATTGGAGGACAAAGTTATAGAGGTATTGATGTTATTTTGGAGACTATGAACAGTAACCAAACAGAGTATAATGAAAAGTGAGTGAAAAAAGCTTACTTATAAAAATTTATTTTGATATTTATCAATCTTAAAGTACTGAAAATAGTCAAATTTTTTACATTTTCAGGTTTACAAAGTACTATTTAATAAAAGCTGGAGTTGCAGGAGTAATTAAACGCATAATTACCGCCACCCAATATGGAAAAGTTAGTTTTACGTTTTACTTTAATTATTAACAGAAAAGGGGTTCATTTATATCATTATTTTTTTCAGTTGAAAACTATACTAAATAATAACAGCAATATTATCAATAACACTGAAGCTACGAAAAATTTAAAAATTGCGGAAATCAGCCTAAATAACGCGCAATGGCGATTTAATTCAATGAAGAATTTTTTTGAGGAAACAAATACTAGTGATCTTATTTAAGTACACACTGACCTAGAATGGATTCAACAAAATTTTATAACGAGAAACTATTTGAATATTTATAGATCATTTATTCTTAAACTTTGATTTTTTTTTTCACTTTAGAAACATGTTTATCGAAAGACAAACCTCCTAAAATCAATTAAAAACATCAATAACTTTAGTCTTGACGAAAATTTATCGTAGAAAGTTAAAAAAATGTAAAATCAGTGAAACTTGCTTAAGGCGGTGAGAAATCACGGGCGTTCCAAGGATTCACTTTAGTATGATAATTAATTCAATTTAGGGGGATGAATCTACCTCTAATGAACGCTTCACGACGATGGGGTTGAGAGGCTAAGGGAACCGTAAAAGCGACGGCGTTTATTCGAGACGATGCCAAAGGCAAAAGGATTAAGGAAAACGAGCGAGTATATATTCCGAAAGCTCAAAGCAGATGCTTATATGATCATCATTGGTAAACGATTATTTGACAATATTTTATTATCCCAAAGAGACTTCAAGTAACCAACAAAAGCAAGACTAAAATCATTTAAAATAATTTTTAAATCATTTCAAAGTATAAAAATAAAAAATTTTATTCATTTTTAAATAGATCAAACTTTTCGATCTTGGGCCCTTGGATCCATCGGAAATTTATGTGGTAATGTATAGTAAATCTAAAATGGGATAGTAATTTGACGATCGGTAGTAATGCGGATGACAAGAGTGTTTACTCACAAGGGTAAACTAATAGTAGACTGGTCCATAAAATGGTCTAGTGGTGTGTATATAATAACAAAACGTGAAAGAGATTCGAGTGCGAATGGGACGGTCGAGAAGGTGAAAAAGCACCACCAGAGAAAAGAGACAAGGGGTAGTATGTATACTACTGTACGGTATACCAGTAAAATCCACAAATCACCGTATAAACCAGAACAATGACGGCGCGAGTGTGGGACAGCCGAGAGATCGGGTTCAGAAGAGGCCAAGCGGGGACCAGGGGTGCCTGGGATCTGAGGGTGGCAAACTAGGTGCCAGTACGAATTCAAGGGCTCGCAGTACTGGTATACATACACGAAAACGCGGACTGGCCGACGATAAATTTGTCGACGGAGTCAATAACAGAGGCTGTTTCTGTGATTTAATGATGCCTGCTCGACGAGGCCACGGTACTACACAACCTCTCTGTTTGCGTGTTTTCACTTTCCCCTTTCCTTCTATTCTCTCTTCCACACTAACCCTCTTTCCCTTATACCTACATTCTATTCTATATAATATCCCGAAACCTACTGCGGAATAGGAAGAAACTCCATTTGTCATTTGCCTGCGTATTGTCACTTGAGATATTGTACGAACAACTATTCATCAATCTGGATTATAATTAATAAGTAATTATTTACCATTAACTCTGTCTCTTGTTTCCTCTTATTTGATACATATCCAAATCCATTTCGTTACATCAAAATTATCGTGCTATCTATTTTCATGGCGCATATATCAAACCATTTAGGAATAGTACGTCTTTAACAGAATTAATCCACGATATACCATTGATGACATTACAGATTACAGATAAATATAAATAATTGAAATAGCTCGACGACAGAGTGAATAAATTTAGGCAGTAAAGAAGGGATTAGAGAGCGCGATGAAATAATTATCGGAAATTGTCTTGATGGACTGGTGGGAGCATAAACGGTGAGACAAAGACCGAGAGAGAAATAGTGATTCGATGGGTAACCAAGTGAACGTGGAATACACACCCGTTTGTTATACGAAACGACGTTTATCGGCATTAACGTCAACCGGGCGGAGGCTTGAAACGCGTTTTATCGTGAATGTGCTAAAAGCAAAATCTCCTCGATACACCTCGAAACCTTTTAGCGTCTCCCACTATAGTATGGCTACAACACACTGCACAGTACCAAGTGAGTCGAGGGATACGGTTTGTGCGCTTCTGTTATTTTTTCGCCTATTTTTTTAATTTTTGACGCTACTTTTTCTCTCAAACCATCGTAATTGTAACAAGCTAAAAATTGCAATGCGAATTACTGACAATCCTTTACATTTTTGAGCATATTGCTTTGAATTTTCTATTCATTAATTAGACTAGTGTAAACATTTGTAATTACTTTCGTCATTTTTATCATCTGAGAATATTGATGAAAAGCTTTTATTCATACAAATGTCGGGTGATGTATATAAAAATATTTTTTTTTTCTTTTCACTTTCCGAAATTTTTCTCACTCTCGTTCAATAAGAGTTTATTTGTATGTGTATATATATTTATAACTAGCATTACGTAAATAACAAGCGATCGCTATTAAAACGAGAACGAAATGGACGTGAGGCGCACCATCGTGCCGGCACTTAGGCCCGGCTTTTAATCTTCAAGCCACAAGAAGAACTCTAATTAGAGCCGGCGCCGAGTCTAGCTCAATCTCGCACGAATGCAAACGCGAATATTCCCCAATAATAATGATGATGATCATAAAAAGTATAAAATGAAACTCCAACCAAAATATATGTATAATACGAATACAAAACTGTAAATATCTCTTACTTAGCATCAGTATTTGCAGTAATTAAGGATATATTTATATTTAAATAAAATAAGTGTTTTTTCAACATTTAAATATCCTAAGCTAGCCAAAATCAAGTAACATCTCGGATAATTAAAATTTTGATTAATGCACGTGTCCATCACACGCTGGCTCTAATGAACTTTCACGTCGGCACTTGTAAAGTGCAGAGCCAAAGTTGGATGCTATGAAACTCCAGCACCAACTTTGTACCACGATTGTAACCTCACAAACGTGATCCTAATCGTCCTGAATATACAACACGATCGTGAGAGAAATATACCAGTTGCCATTCTAAACTTGTTAACGATTTCTAAATCACCATTTTTTAAATACTCTTTACACAGTAAAAAATATTGTGTATTTGTGTCGAAAACGGTTTGTGTTAAAAATTGTAGTGTGTTAAAATAACACAAAGCTTGTGTCATTTTATTTTGTAAAATAAAAAATGTGTTATATACTCTTTATTAACATATTTTGTATGTTACTTGGGAATGAACACAAAGTTTGTGTCAAATTCTCTATTAATATAACATCACTTCTTCACTTTACGCAGCAAACATTTTCACGAAAATATAATAAATATTAAATAATAAAGACAATTAAATTTATATGACACTCAAGTTAGTAAACGTCTAAAAACTTTTAATTTTTTTTATTACATAAATTACAACTAAAAAGATATTTCTAAAAAATTGCACTTCTAGTTTTTAAAGTTTTTTAGATGTGACATTTTTTTTTTTTTAATTGTTAAATCTAAATTTTTTCAATAAAAAATTTCTAAAAGTTTTAAAATGTCGGTTAACTTCATTTTCATAAATTTATAACTCTGCTGCTTCATTTTTAAAACCTATAAATTATTTTTTGATTTAATTATTAAAAATTTTTCATACTTTCTTCCTTCCAATTATTTATAGTCGGTATTTGTTGATGTTTCGTTAAAATGTAAATGATAAAAAAAAACATTTTTAAATAAATATTATTTACTGCAGTTGAGGAAATAAAAAAAAATTATTTTATAGGTTATGTTATAGGCATCAAACAGTTGATGAAAATAAATAAGTTTATTTAACATTTATTTTGTGTTAAGATTGACACTTTAGAAGTGTATGATTCTTTGCGCCCTCTTGTGGCGATATTTCAACATAATCTTTGTGTTAAAAAGGGGTTACACAAAATTTGTGTTGAAATTTCAACACATATTTTGTGTCAACCGTTTTTAACACACAAACTGTGTTGATTTTACACAATATTTTTTACTGTGTACTTATTTATTTCGGATAATGAATGGTGTTGAAGTTTTTATCATTTTTTGATAAATACTCGGTAACTTGTCTGATTAAATAAATGTTTTTAATATCTACAAAGTTTTTTTATTTTAAAGCAATAAATTGTTCTTGTCAAATATTATTTTATCAAAAAATGATAAATATACTTTTAAGAAGTAATGTCGATATGGTAACAAACAATTGATAATTTCTCTAAATTGTTACACTGATAACGAAATTAACTTTGAGTCCAGTATAAATTACTTGAAGTTTGGACAATTTCTTAATTTAAGAGTTTTTCTGCTTGACTCAAGTTAATTTTGTCATCAATATATCTATAGTCAAGCTTTCAAATTATAACCTTTGATATATCGATGACTCAACGTACGATAACTCAATTCAGGACGATAATTAAACAGCCGTTACTCAGGAGTCATGAGTTATATTTTTCCCTAATTAGTGTAATCAGGAGTAACGATGATTAATTGAAGATAGAGTAACATCTCAAATAACTTCTCGGAAAGACCGATAAAACTGATGTTCAAACTTAAAAAAATAAATAATAACCGTTAATTTACATCATCGACAGTACAGTAAATTATTGATCGACTCGATATGATATATCCCGAGGAAACTGGATAGCGATCAAAGTGTTGACACCAGCCAACAGCGCATGTGTGTGTGTCAGCTCCCGAGATGATGATCAAAAGTGGAAAGTGATAAATGTTTAAATTCAAATGCATCGAGGCATACCTTTGCCTCATTAATCGCTATCGAGAAATCAATCACGACACTCTTAGCTGTAGTATCAAGTGAAGGGCTTCCTTATACATTGGCGAAGTGTGCTGGAGAAGAAGCAGAAGCATATCATGGAACGAGTGCATCGTGACTTAAAATACCCGTCGAATAAGTGGCTTTAATACTCGTACAGTCCATCAACCGATGTGTGACGATGACATCAGTGAAAACACCATACGTTAAAACTTTCCACCTAAACAGACACGCGTTGTCTTTATCTTGCTGCTCGTCGATTACCAGCGCGGCGAGTGAGGACACAAAGACGACTCGCGACTCAACTTGTACATAGTTACCCAAAGAGAAATAACAAACGATAATGAGACGAGAGTTAGACTGACAATTAAAAAGCTTAAGTCTCGCGAGAGCTAGTTTAACGAGCCGATAAAAGATGTCTTCAAGTTGTGATCGGTGAAAGGAAGCTTACTCTTGATTTGCTGATTAGTAAAACAAGTAACATTTAATTATCCTCCATACATACACCAGTCCAATTAGTTGATACGTCGTTCTCGCATAATC